TGTAATGGATCCCTGATTGATAAAAAGGGGCCACTGTCCCCAGTGGCAGGGCCATCAGGACAGCTTTTCTGTGGGATGATTTGTTTCTGTGTGAAGACTTTGGTTTACAGAAGCATGAGCTACAGACTATGTGTGACAGGAGTCTGCGGGCTCCTGTCCCTGTCCATCTGGGGCCTAAGCAAAAACATCACTGCCTCAGACTGCCTGAGATTCAGGTCGTCATGGAAACCGGGTAGACTGTGGGCAGACAAGCAAAAGAGGGATTTCTTCTGCCCCCTCCCCCATCTCTGCCATCTCTGTGCCAAGATAAATGACTCCACCTGTGCTCTGCCAAAGAGAGCAGTGCAACTGACTCAGACTGTCCCTCTAAGAGCATCAGGTGTCCCCACCGTTTTAACCCTGGGCAGGCTACACAATGCTGTCACTGTGTGAGATGCAGTAGATACTGTTTTTGCAGCCAGGGATGCCCGATAGAAGGCTTTGCACCCCAAAGCCAGGAACTCCTGAGAGAAGGCCTTGTACCCCAAAGCTCTCCGGGCCTGGGCTTTTCAAGCAGTCGTCTGTCCTTCTCAGCCACTACAGACTACCTCTTACCCAGATGTCTGCCCAAAGTACGGCTCCTGCCAGGGTCTCTGTGGTCAGAGCTCCCACTGTGTGGAGGCAGGAAGAGAGCCTGCATCTGCTCCTGTTGTCCAGATCTTGGGAAAGGCCTGGGTAGCAATCTGTTCTGGGTAAAATTTTACTTTCCCCTCCCCTGACCTCATCTTAACTACTTACTACAATGGTCCACAGAAAAGCCTGAATTTTTCTGGAACAGGCAAACTGCAGCTGTGGCTGGAAGCTCTCTGAAGGCTGTGAACCTAACGCCAAGCTCGTTGGCTGCATCCTGCTTGGGTGTGAGGGTCTCTGCTACTGTTTCCTCCTCCTTCAGGAATAGGCCCCAGGGCTGGGACGGTGGCACAGAGGACAATGGTTGCTGCTATAACATGAGGCCCTGAGTTTGAATCACTAGAAGCCATGATAAAAGCCAGCAGTAGCTGCACACATGCCTGTCATTCCAGCTCTGATCATGTCACAGGTTAGATACTGGAGGTTGTCTTGGATTTCCTGGATCCCAGCAAGGCTTTAGTTTCAGTGAGTGACCCTACATCAATCAGTTGTAGAGTAACTGAGGAGGACAGCCATTGCTGTCTTCTGACCCCTGCATGTGTGCACCCTCTGAAGAAGTGTTGGCGGAGACCTAGGTCCCTGGCTGTAATTTCATAAGTGCAATTTCCCTAGGCATGAGGGCAAAACTGGAGAATTCTGTGAAGGATCTGATACAGCCTTCCCAGGCATCTGAATCCTATGGGATGCTCTGGCTGCAGCTCACAGAGGGTGTTGCCATCAGGGTGAAAATAAACTTCCGTGGCCGACCTAGACTTATGGTATCTGCTGGGGACATGAGTACCTTAAATCTTTGTTAGTTGTTCTTTTGTTTTTACTTATGTTTTCAATTTTCAGTTCTGTGGATGGTATCTGGGGTCTGCTGCCTCTGCCCTCCTAGCTAGGCACCGTATCATCAGCCTAGGTCACATGATTAGTGTAGCTGATATCTATACAGGGTCCCATCATGAGGCAAATACCTTGCAGTCACAAGACTACCTCAGCTACCCAGTGGCTGCTGGTCTCATGGTCACGTGCTAAGCTGTGTGTGGGCGTTGCGCAAGTCCTCTGCAAAGATGCTGAGACCTCAGAACCAAGATTGAGTATGCCCCACGCCCTAGCTGGGCCTGTTCACTGGACTCGGGCGGTCACATGACTCTTTCTGGCCCCTCCTATCTGAATCAGTATTCAAGCTAGGCATTTTCTGGGTTTGCTGTGGATTCACCTCCACCCACGGAAGACATTCTGAGCTCTTGCCCTTGCCCTCACTAAAGACAAAGGTGGGTCAGACTGTGGCTTAGACTCTCTATGTATCCAGGAAGCATTGCAGGCTGACTTCCCAAGCCGACTTTTCTGGTAGGAGGCCTACCAGCTACCCTCTGGGATTTACTCAGGGGAGGGCTTTCCGGGTAAACAAGTAGATGTTACCAAGCACAGGTAGTCTGAGGAGAGGGTTTTCCATAGAGGTGACGGGAGGTCGTTCTAAAGATGGCCAAACTTTTAAAAACCTGTCTCAGAACAAGGGGTTTGGAGTCTTCATGCGACCCTGGTCTCAGAAGAGGTCCTGTGTGCAGTCAGGCTCAACAAGGCAAAGGGGTAGTAGTGGAGAGGGAGATTGAGAATGAACACTAGCAGTGAGGGCTTAAAGACTGATGCTCAGCTCTGCAGGGCAGGACTTCTTAATCAGGGTAGGACCACCCTTTCCTTCCTTGTCCCCCTGACTGTGGTCATTGCCCTGCCAAATTTTCTGCCTGTTCTGCAGTGAGATGCTCATCCTCTGCCACTCTCTGACCCTGTTACTCTCAAGGATTCTGGAGGCTTCCAACCAGTAGTTGATTTTGGGGCAAGGAAGGGGGCTTCTTTTCCCCCCGCAGCCTCTCTCCTTGTTGCTGCTATGTCCTGGCTTCTTTTCTCACCCAGCTTCCTGAGCTCTTACTCAGGGATGTGCATTGTTCTGGAAGAAGAAAGTGATCAGAGAAGGGAAGGGAGTGTGAAGGAAAAGGAGAGATGGAGCTTTTGTAAAGGTTGAGATTTCAATGAGCTTGTCAACATGAGGACAAAGTAGATACTCTGAATTCCTTAATTTGAAAGTCTTTAGATTTCAAGAGGGTAGTTGGAGGAGGGGTATTCACCTTCTTGTGTTCATGAACTTCGTAGGCCAGCAACACACTGAGATTTCCAGACAGAAAGTGGTAGTGTAAAGAGACACACAGACGAAATCTCAAGGATGCCCTGGGTCCATAGTGCAGGGAGTAGTGAATGAGTAAACCCGAGTAAGCAGCAACATGGTGCCTTCATGCCTGGGCTTGAAAACTGGGCTTTCCAGGTGGCTGAAGAATGATGTCACATTTTGTATGAAAGAGAACTTAACTAGTCCATTTTTCTCCCACTAGTCCATTTCTAAGCTTCCTCTGAGACCACAAAGACCAAGAGACAAGAAAGATGGGCTCCATTGAAAAGAAGCAGGGGACCTTCAGATATACAGGTAAAGACACTTCCACCATGCGTTTTTGGCGCTTGTAGTATGCTCATGGCAACATGTAGCTCTCAAGTGTCCTCGAGCTCCTGGGAATGGATTCCCTTACAAAAAGCCCCTGTTGTATTAATGTTCCCTGAACATATTTTGAGTTGGGGGGAGTATAATCTTCTACCTCTTTAATTCTTGATTGCAGTTTACTAAGGACGGTATGATATGTGTATAATACTGGAATTTTTCTTCTTGTCACTCGTTTGATATTTTATCTTCTCATCAGTCAAAGATTTTGCCCACTTGAATCTTGTCAGTTCTTTTTTCTTCACAGATCACTCCAGTTTATAGGCATAATTCTAGAATTGTTGGGTGAAAATTCATTGTATCATTTGTAAGACATTCCAAAGAGTCTTTTCCATGAGCAAATGAAATACCCCACCATTGAAAGCAGGGTACCACTGATGTGCCAGGCAGTGCCTCTCACCAACTCCAAGTAACTCATGACTTTTCCACACGATCTAACTACTGAAAGGCTGCCCTTCTCGAATAACAAGCATTGCCGTAACTTGTCCTGTTAAGTTCCTCACTCAGCCTCAGAAAAATCCAGAGACACTGTTCTTTCCATTTACAGAGGGGTCTGAGTCTTTGCACCCCTCAAGCCCCAGTGGCTCATTTCTCACTGTTCCCATAAGTTCCAAGCCAGTGCAAACCCTTCCCATGGCAGTGGCTGTCTGGGCGTGAAGAATTCTTACTGAAGTGAAATAGGGACCTAAACGAATGGAGCAGACACTACACCAGGATCATTCACTGTGCCACTGGAAAAGAAAACCCCAGAGGGTCTTACAGCACACTATCATAAATAGCACCCCCTCAACTCACTGCAGTTTAGAGAGGGATAGTGTCATGGCCCTGCTAAAGCCCTGGCAGACAGAAAAAGTCTATGGTACAGAGTTTGTACCGCAGGTAGGGACTAATGGGAGCACTTGGCTAGCAGCAGCACTGACTAGCCCAAATAGATTAAGGATTTGCCAGAAGTCTTCTAAGTCCTGGATGGCAGTACCGTGATTTGAGTTCAGCTTGGTTATTGTCTTTTATAATCCCTTGTTCATCACTTGCTGCTTCATAAAATGTGAGTGTACTTTTATGGCGTGAAGACATGTCCACCCCCACACACACTTATTCATCTGACACCAGAAACCTTGACTTGAATAGTCATGATGACATCCTTTCCAAACAAGGACACTGACAAGCCAACAGTCTTTTGTGAATAAGGGAATGTGTTGGATGCATGACTTGTCATTGTAGGGGGCAGCCCCCTGGAGTCGGTACAGGACACACCCAGACACCAGGTTCTCAGCACACAAAGAAAGATTTATTAAGCTCGAGGGGAAAGCAGAGAGGCAGAGGCTGCAAATGCAGACAGCAGCAGCAAGCAGTAACCAGCAAGCAGGTGTTTTTTGCAGGAGTGAGTTTTTAAGGAGAAAAGGGGGCAGTTTGTGCCACGGTGAGTTGGCAAGTCTTGATTGGACATGTTACCCAAATAATGAATTTTGACTGTTGAACCTTGATGTTTTGTCTCAGGAAGGAGTCAGTAACCAAATGAGGGAATAGACCTTGGGGCTAGCATTAAGAATTCAGCCTAACGGGTTTTAGCAAGGGACAGGGAAAGGTGAAGGGCAAAACTTGTCCACACCAAGTTTGCCAAGCTTGAGGCTGTGTTGGTCATTCTCTGGCCTCCTAGAGAGCCTTTGAGTCATTGTGTTCAAATATACACCTTACTAGGGAAAATATCTAGTGGAACAGAAAAAACTTTCTCAGTGGATCTTTTCCTTTAGTAAACAAAATATGCTGGGTGTCAGTGTTAGAGAAAAATGGTGATACTAAAATGTCTGGCAACCTGGGTGGCTACAATCGGAGGGCACTAGAAGATCACTATGGGAGTAAAGTGGCTTTCCTGCTGGCAGTCACTGACAAGCTTGGAAATGTCGGATTGTATGAGAGCTACTGATTATTTGAACGTGTTAACTGGACTCATGTGTCTAAGGGGGCAAGTGAATTTAAGATCAATTGCAAACTGAACCCTGTGACCCTTGACCCTGATTCTTGGCTGAGAATGATGGGTCTAAAATAGATAATGCAGAGGGGCAAAGGCATGCTCAAACAGCGAAGCACATACACATAGGAAGCCACTTGTGTAGTTGGACACAAGGCCTGAAGAAGAGAAGGAAAGGATGATTGTCATGACTGAGCCAGGAAAGAAGACAGGCAATAAATCAGCTATCCAGGACTGAGCTGTGGTGAAAAGACTAGTCTCTGCAAATTGAAAAAACAGATGAATTTCTGTAAGCCGACAACAGGCTCTGAGAGCAACTCCTCTGCCATCATATGTGACACTTAATAGTGACTAATAGTAGATACCTTTAGAGTTAGAAAAGAGACAAAAGTGACTCATAGGAAGCCAGCTGCATGAAGCAGTGCTAACCTTAGTGCACTAAGCTAAGTGTGGTGCACAGGGAATCTTATGCACTTTGCATGCATACATGCATACATGCACCTTACAGTTCAAAAGGGTCCACCAACTTGTCCAAGGCAGCTCTCTTCACTTGTTTTAAAACACTTGGTTCCCACATCAACAGGTGTGACTGTCACAAAACTGTGTCTTTCCTCTGCTGCATGAAGTCTCTCCAGGAAATGAGAATTTTTACCATCCGTGGAGAAAGAGTTCAGCCACTACAGAAATGCTTGATGGGAGGTGGGGAGGGAGGGCAGTAGAGCATTTGGTGGCGTACAGAGATCTGAATCTACCATTTTGTTGGATGAAACCTTCTAGGATAATCACTCAGCATACTGGAGCTGAATATTCATGATCCAAAAGGGGGCCTTGGGTACAATTCTCGTCGGACTTCAGTGTGCCCTACACCAAGCAGTTGTTGTGGTCATAGCTCAAGTGTTGGGTTCTCTTATCTCTGTGTTCTCCTGCTACTGCAGCAGAGGAGCTTGTCCTTCACAGCCAGGCAGCACTGTAGGAAGAATTCCAGAATGGCACAGGCAGGAGCTTAGGAACATTTGAGGTACCCTGAAAGAGGCTCACTGTTCCTTTTGTGTTGGAGGAAAAGCTACTGCATAGCAAAGTCTGAAGGTAAGTAGACTAGCTGATGTGCCAAATATTTTTAATTTTTCAATTCGTTTTTTGTTGCATGCCTGTGTGCCTGACTGCCTGCTGTGTGCATACCAGGTGCTTGCAGATTGCATCAGAGGCCAGAAGAGGGTGCCAGAATCCGCAGAAGTGGTCTGACCTACACCATAGCCCAAGTACACTTATGTTCATCACGAATCCCGCTCTACTGATTTTAAAAGGGTCCAAAGGGCCCCTTCTTCTTGCAAGCTGTCTGCTGTGGCTGTGCCAGGAGTTTTTTCCACTGGGTGTTTTTGTGATTTGCCCTTTGGGGAAAATAGGCACTTTACTCACCCACCCATGGGGCCACCCCCATGGTGCAGCATGTGGCACACTGACCACTGATGTGTTTTCTAACTTTCATCCTTTCCCATTTCAGAATACAAAGGTGGTGACAGCCGTGTTCTTCTAGGAAGAAAGAGAGACCAGGTCTTCTTCCTGGGTTATACTGATAAAAGGAAAGGTCATTATGAGCACCCTGGGCGTGTATTTCTGCCTTCAAAATTTCAGGGTGATGGTGGAAATGTGGAGATGCGAGATGTTCTCTGGGACCCCTCTGTAAGATAGTAAGTGACCAGGCAGCCCAGTTAGTTGTTAGCAGCCCCTGGGCCTGTGCAAGTCTTTCACCACCTCTGCCCCTGTGGTCTTCTCTCCCTGGGAAACTAGAGATCCAGTGCTCCATATAAGAGGGATGGTGGCTGAGCAATACTAATGGTACCTTTGCTACCAGTGAGGGGAATGAGGATTCATGCATGAATTTCTTAGCATTTCTCAGCACTTCCTTATCCTTCCATAGCACACCTTATGCTATGCGACATAAGAACAGAGAGGACCAGCATATGGAGGACCAAATCCATATGACAGTGTGGAAAGATGGCAAATCTCAAAACAAAGAAGTGAGGGAGCATGCAGAAGATGGAATGCTGAGGAACTGGTTCAAGGTCACGGTGAGTTTCTTGGTGACCACTGCTGGGGTATGTCTGCGTTCCTCTGAGATTCCATGGTGTCTCTCTTCTGTCTTGTTCCTTGTTTGCAAATTTAGATCCTGTGTGGCAGAAAGACTGATAAGACACAGATAATGAAATCAGTCCACAGCCTCTGCAGCGTGCCCTTCACCGCAGTGGATGTAAGAGGGGATGGTGAAGCCAACTAGGATGGCTTGGGGGATTGAGCAGGAGGCCAGGTTCAGCAGGGGTCAGTGGCCTCTTAACACTTTCACTTCTTTCCCCTCTCCCAAGTTCCATTGTGACAAACACCGGGTCCGGTTCTTTGTCCAGGATGCTAGCACTGCCTGTGCATTGAAGGATGTTAGCTACAAGATGTATGATGAGGACAGTCAGAAGGTGTGTGCTGGAGGCATTCTCTGTACCCAGCCCTGGCATGGGCCCTAGGCTGGGAGTGTCATCTTCAGGATTAGAGTTTCGGGTGCTGACTCTATCTCTCCTCCCTACAGATCCCTATTTTTGTCAATCCCTCGGATGTACCCTACTCTGTTCTGAATAGGTTCACTGGAGAACAAATGGTGCAGCTAAAGGTACAGCAGTCTGAAGGCAGTGCATGTGTTCACTTCCCAGACCCAGCTTTCCTTCCCCTCAGTCCCTGAAGGTCCCAACACCAAGACCCTCAATACTACAGAGCCACAGAGCCACCCTCTCCATCTGTGTCTCTGCAGCTGGCCCTGAGGAAAAGATATGATGCTTCCCAACGTGCTCTAAACCTCCAAAAGCTCCACTCTGACCCAGGTAGTGCTGGCAGCAGTCACTGCAGGCCATGGGTCAACCTAGGAAGAAGACGTACATGTGGTAGCAGTGGAGGGGTCTTTGCTGGGGCTGGTTCAGATGGACCCCTCTCCATCCTCTGATTCCTCTCCCTCCTCTTCCTGAAGAGTTGGTGCACCATGGCATAGACATGATTCTGAACCGAAGAAGCTGCATGGCTGCCACCCTTCAGATCATCCAAGAGGATTTCCCTGAGGTGTTGATGTTTGGCGGGAGGGCCAGAAGGATGGGGTGCAGGGAAAATGTGTCTCTGAGGCTCTCAACAGTAACAGTCACTCTAACTCTTGCTCCCCAAAGCTGATCTCCTTGAACTTGAGCAACAACAAACTGTTCCGGTTAGATAGCCTGTTTGATGTGCTAGAGAAAGCACCCCAAGTCAAGATCCTGAACCTCTCCTCAAACGAGGTGAGCAGATGAGATTGGGGTTGAGGATAGGTAGCAGTGCAGACTGTATTAACATGAGGCAGACAGAGTGACCCATGAGTGGGAACAGGGAGACACGGGTCCTGAACTGCAGATGGCTGCCTTTGCCTGGGACAACTTTACCAATCCTCTTCCATTTATCTCAGCTAAGAACAGCATGGGAGTTGGAGAAGATGAAGGGGCTGAAGCTGAAAATGCTTTGGCTAGAAGGGAACCCTTTGTGCAGCACCTTCACAGACAATTCTGACTACATAAGGTACATCGTGGTTGCGGCCACTTTCCCCTTCATAGATCCTGTTGTCTCCTGGTGGCCTGAGACACCCTCTGTGGGAGGAGGCAGGCCCGGGCCTCTGGAAGGACCACAGGTAAGCCCTCTCCCCTGTCTCTGTACTCAGCGATGCTCACAGGACTCCTTGATTCTGTTCTGCATGCCCTGTCTCACCTAGTGTGGGCAGTGTTTCCCTTGTGTGAGTTTTCCACCTCCTCCAGAAGACCCTGCCTTGCCTCATCTCAACAGCAGCAGGCCTCCTCTCCAGTCCTGAGAGGAGCCTCCAGGTCCTGCTCCTGAATGGACCCCTCTTCTGTCCCAGGCTACCCTAGAGGTTGTCCTGCCCCAGACTGAGGGGCTGGGTGATGCGGCCGTGGACATCACTTCCTCTGGACTACTGCTGGGATCTCTGCCTTCCTTGGGGGAAACCTGGGTTCTCTGAATCCAGGAGTGGGCCATGACTGGGGAGCTGAAAGCTTCCTGGAGCAGGAAAGGGAGGCAGAATGCAGAAGGGGTTGAGGAGACAGAAGGACTGGCCTCCCTGATGCCTCCACCCCTCCCTTCTTCCTTCCCTGCCTGTACCCTTGCACCAACCTACCTTGATCATCCTATGTAGCATATAAGAGAAGCCTTGGATAGCCTAAGACAAGCAATTTGAGTCCTTGGATAAGACCATAGCCCTTCTAATCTATGCTGAGGTGGGGACTTACCCATTATTTCTTCAGCTTCTGGAAAATGGTTCCTGCCTCCAAGGAGACTCTTAGTCCCCAGCTCACTGAGGAAATACTATGGGCCCCCATGTCTGACTCAGTAGTGGGCATTCTTTTGTTCCTGCTTTGGATCCCTAGGCTAGCCAGGCACAAGTGAAGGAAATGGCAGCAGCAAGGGAGCCCCCTTTCTGTCCTTCTACCCAGGCTCCACTACACCAGGCAAGACAGAGTATCTCTCACTCCCTTTGCATTGCTTCCTCTGTCTTCTTTGCCTCTCCTCTTCCATGTGTCTTCCACATCTCCATTTCTCCCCCCCCACTCCTTCTCTGTCACCATCACCAACCCCCACCCACCATCTCCTTCCCACATCCTGACTCCTGCCTCCTTCACCTTCATCTCTCAGCATCCCAGAGAATCCTAGACACCTTTCCAGTGGCAGGACCTCAAGATACAGTCCTGCTCCTTTAAAGGCCTTCAGTAGATCTTTCTGACACAGGAAAGGGAGTCAGGGAGAGGACAGAAGCCCTGAAGACTGGGCTTCCTATCTGGTTCCTTGTGGCCCTGGAGAAGGGGGCCAGTGCAGTGTGGGTGGAAGATACCCAGGGATTGGGTATCAGGGAAGGGGCCAGAAGAGACCTACAGGGAGAATCAATGATGGGGTGGAGGCAGTGGGGAAGTCCTGCCCAAATGTTATCTGTTAATCACTTCTGTGGCCTTTTCTTTCTGAACAGTGCTGTCTTGGACTGTTTCCCAGAGTTGTCTCACCTGGTATGTTCCTGTCTTCACCATTGCCTCCTCTTCCTCATACAATTGACCCCCACTTTTAATCCCAGCCCCTTTATATCTTGCCTAGATGTGTTTGCCTGGGACATCCATGCATTTTCAACAGCATGGATTCCATGAAAAATAATCTGAATGCTGTCCCAAATTATGCACACAAAGCACCCCCCAGAAACACTCCTGCAAAGCACATATGTGTGTGATAGCAATTTACAGTATCCCATAATACAGTGCCCTCCAAGATGTCACAGCCCAAGGATTTCCTGACCATTTTACACGTAGTCTCTGGGTCAAGGTCCCTTGGATCTCTTGGTCCCCATGGATATCCAATGCTATGCCGCTGTTGTGTGTTCCAAGCGTCCTCCTTGTCTTCTCAGGATGGCAGGAAGTTGCCACTTTCAAGTGTAATGGACCCTGAAAAACCTCAGTTCATGAAGCTCTGCAAGGTGAGGAAAAAGGACATTTATGGTGTTGCAGTGGCTCTCTCAGGAGTCGCAGCATCTGAAATGGCTTTGTATTTTAGGAAAGCTTTAAGAGTTCTGAGGCCATAAAGAATCAAGTACAGCAATTCCTGCAGGAGTAAGTGCACATGGAAACTTGACGATGGAAGGGAAGGAGTTGGCTAGGCTGGGCCACCTTAGCACTGGTCTGCTCAGAGACCTCTTCAGGTCACCTTTGGTGCCCAGGTAAAAGAAATAGCTCATTCCAGCCACCTCCACATCCCACAGATATTACTTGATCTACGACTATGGAGAGCGACAGGGTCTCCTCAGAGTTTACCATGACCAGGCCTGCTTCTCCCTGACAATTCCCTTCAACCCCAGTGATCCAGATATGTGAGTATTACAGCTCATGTTCTGTCCTGGAGCAATGTGACTCCACCTCCCACTGCCCCACCAAGTTTAGAAACAACTGACCCCCAGGAAGCATGTGCACTGTCCCAACTGCCAACTCTTGTTCCTTTTTTCTGTTAGGAGTGGCTTGTGTGGGTACTTCAAGAATGACATGGACATGAAGAATCCCAAGGAGTTCTGTAAGTGTATCATGAGAAAGACCTGGCAGACTGCAGGAACTGGGCATGTGAAGGGGGTAATCATAGAGACCATAGACCAGGGTGTAATAGACAATGGACCAGGGTGTAATAGACAAATCCCTGATCTTTGCTTCCTCCTCCTCTATTAGACCATCAGAGGCAGTTGCTGAAGTACACAAAACAAGACATTGTGGACTTCCTCAGGGCGCTACCCAAAACCCTGCATGCCTTGAGTTCTTTCCAGGTGGACATGTGTTTTCAGAAGGTGAGCATCAGCTTCGGCCTTGGGGCAGGTCCCTAGGTGGTTAGAAATTTATGCAGTGCCCTGAGCCTGTGCCTTCTTCCCTTTCAGGATACGATGCTCTGCTTCTCCGTTAGTGGGTTGTTCAAGGAAGGTGAGTGTCTACAGAATCCCCTCTCCAGACCCTTTTCACTTCCTGCCCTGGATGTGCATCCCTGAGAACACCCCAGCTCCCCCAAATGCATGTCTTTCCGTCCTGTCCTCCCTTGTGTTCTGACCACAGCACCCTCCCACAGACCATCCTGATCTGACCGAGGGCTGTGCCTGTCTGTCCCACAGCCCCTGGGTGAGGGAGGGCACGGGAGCTGTGGGGTTTGTGACTCTCAATCCAGATCCTGACTCTGCCTTTGGGTCAGTTGCTTAATCTCTGCATTTCTACATTTGCTAATTGCACTTATTAAGCTCCCCTTCCCCCTTAATGTGAAACAGACCAAGTGAACATTGGAAGACATGTTTCACAGGAGGCCCTTCAATGGACGTGGATTCACTCCCCTTGTTGCCCGCCCCCATCCCCCTTCCCAGCAAAGACCCCTGAATCTAAGCCAATAGGTGACTGGTCCTGGGCACTTTCAGCATAAGATTCTGACTGGGGAACATCCTGTGAGGGTGTAAAACATGTGTAATTCTAAGGATGCTTTATTGTTTTCTTGTCCTCAAAGTGGAAGGCAGCTCTCAGGGATGCATCCGTGCCTTCATGCGCACCTTTATTGCTACACTTGACAGGAGGAGTTCAAAGTACGTACAGTTTTGTGAGTGGAACACCCACCCCAGCTAGAGGCCAGAAGCAACATAGTGAGGTGGTACCATCCTCTGTGCATAGTCTCATAGTCTTGGTAATATTGGAAGGCCAAGAGGTAGATCAAAGGCTCAGAGTAGCCTAGCAGTTAAGAGAAGGGGCTTCGGGGTTGGAATATCAGTTTTCTTTTGGACCCTCAGTCACTGTCACCGTGACCCAATTAACTGATTGCAGGAGACCCTGGTTCTTGATCTGAAAGTGGAAAGGAGGGGAACCAGGTACTTTTTCTAGGGTGTAGGCTAACTGTGTGGTGTTTAAATCTCCAAACCCAATGTAGCTGGTAGACAATCTTTTGGAGGAGGTGGATGTGGTGTTCTCTGTGCAGCAGGCAAGGACTAGATTAGGCAGGTCAAATGGGCACATGGGAGGAATCCAGTTTCTGAGTAGCAGTGAGGAAAGAAGACCCTGTGTGGGGCAGTGGCGGATTGTGTGTCTGTCCAGTTGTCTCAGAGACTGATTTTCCTCCAGCCTGTGCATTGTGAATGACCAACTTTTTCTGAGGAATCCAAGCCCTGATGAGATCCACGGTGACTTTGCCATACCCTTGTCCACATCATGCTCCACCTTCAAGCCCGTCCTCTCTCAAGAGCAGCAAAGGATGGTGTGGGCGTTCTCCAACCAGTCGGGGATGAAACTCGAGTGGTCTCAGAAGTGAGTACCTGCTATAAGTGTGCACAGGATGGAGCTGCACTGGGGCTAGAAACACATAAAAGTAAATAGTGAGATCTCAGACAACATATGAAAAAATGAACTGTGTCTATATTTTACTAATGCCCCTCAAACAAAAACCTAGGAGCGCACTAAAAAAGTGCCTTCATTTTGTAATAGAATATGTAAAGATTTTTGAACGATAGTCCATTCCTCAAATGGCATCCCATTCCACTTGGAAAATCCAAAGGAATTCATTATATTAAACCCCTAGAACTGCTCCACAGTGGCAGGATGTAAAATTAATATACAGAAATCAATTGTATTTCTATATACTTGCAACAAATAGCCAGTAGGACACAAATCCTTTTAGAATGGCAGTCAAAAGAATAAATCACTTTGAATCAAGTGTAACAAGAGAGGGAGTGGGAGAAATGCTGGTGGGTAGAATGGCTTGCTGGTCAAGTGTCAGGACCACAGCCCACGTTGTCTTATTTCCTCCACAAGTGCACCACTGTGCTCATGCATCTGCATTCACAGGACACGTATCTAGGTGTGCTCACCCCCCCACCCTGTGCACGCACACACAAATGCAGGCACAACACACACACACAGACAAACACAGTTCATACTCTCTGATGCCTGAGTAAGGTATCTAAAGATAAAAAATGGAAAACGATCCAAATAATGTGAAGAGAGTATCTACATTTGTGGGTACAACAGTATCAGTACTGTTCAGAGGATTCTTCACTTTCCTTGAAATCCCTCTCAAAGCACCAAATGGTTTCCTTGTAAAAATTGGCATAGAGGAGCTGTACAGTTGGTTTGGCATTTATGAGCACAGGGAACCTTTCCTGAGGACCCATGTTCAATTCCTACCACACAACATGTCTGTCACTCCAGTTGGATCCAGGTATCCAACACACTTTTATGGCTTCAGTGGGTACTTGTAGGCTAGTGGTGCACAGATATACATGCAGGCAAAACATCCATACACATACAATAACATCAAATTTAAACATTTTCAAATTGACATGGTGATCCCAAAGTACATGTAGAAATCCAGTGGACCTAAACTAACCCAAACAACTTTGAATGAAAATAACAAAGTTAAAAGAGGCACAGTTCCCAGTTTCAAAGCCAGATGCAAAGCTACATGAAATAACGTTATGTGGAGCTTGCATCCATGCCACAGATTAGGCATGTATAGAAGAAACTCCCACAATGATGGTCAGATGACTATTTATTACAAAGACTATCACACTATCATATTACCACAGAGACCAAGAGTATCTTTTCAACACACAACACTGAGAGAACAGGATGTTCAACTCAAAACAAGTGAACTTTGTCCCCCAGCACACACCCACACACCATATGAAAACACTGACCTTGTGTAGAGAGAGGATCCAGACTTAAGTGTTACTCCACCTATAGTGCCCAAGAAACAAAATACAGGTATAAACCTCCATGGCCTTGAATTAGATTGCCATGTATTGGTTATGACACCAAAAGCACAAGCAGCCAAAGTAACCCTGGCAAATGGGAGAGTTAGTGGCTGAGCTCCAGTAGTTAAGGAGTTTTCTTTTGCAGCAACAGAGTTGTTTGGGAATTAGTTTGGACTGTTGCAGAGTCTTGTGAATATACTAGAAATGACTGGGAGATGTGTACTTGAAATCGAAAACACCCTGAGATGTGCCATACATCTTAGTTTAAAAATTATGGGAGAGAATTTGTTTCGGAATCTCCATTTCTTATTTTTCTTGTGCTTCTCTGGAAGTGCACGGTGTGGGGTGTTGGTATTAAGCTTCACTATTCTTATGCTTATACTTTGAATTCTGCTGAGCATGAATTGTGACATTGTGGCTTCTACCAGGTCTTTCTCCATTACTAGGGTGCTAAATCAGACACACGTGCCCTAGCATAGGTTAAGTGGTGGCATCTGTGATCAGTGCATCTGTCCTGTGGTAGTAATGGAGGTCACCTGTCCTTCTCCCTCCTCAGGTGCCTTGAGGACAACAAGTGGGACTACACCAGAGCTGCTGAGGTCTTCACTATGCTCCAGGTGAGGTCTGGGAATCAAGTGAGTAACAGATGGCTGTCTCTGGAATCTTTAACAATATGGAGTCTAGGTGACCAGGGGATGGGACTCAGGGCACTGGGCTCTTCTGACATCCTGACTCCTTTGCTCCAGATTGAGAGCAAGATCCCAAAGGAATTCTTCAGACAGATGACTTAAAAGGAGCGAGCGCCTGGATGTCATCTCACTCTTGTACACACTCTCCTTTCCTTGTTTGTTCCTGAAGCTTTGCCCATGACTCCAGCTGTTAGCCTGGCTGACCACAAGGCCAGAGTTAACATGTAGGCCAAGTAACACAGCCACCCTGGGGGTCAATTAGTCTGTGTATTTTCCCAAAAGATGTCTGTTTTTTTCATAATAAAGAGTTACTTTGCATATTGTGTCCTGGATTCTTCCTTGCCTGTGGTAGCCATGAGTCAGAGGAGTCAGGACTGAAGGGCCCACACCTCCACTTTCACCACATTCATCCCTGGACATCCAGAAGCAGAGCCACAGAGCTTGCTTCCATGGACACTGAAAAAATCCTCACGGCAAAAGACACTTGCTACTTCCTGTGATTAGCCTTTGGGGACCATGAAATGTGCCACATAACTCTACCTGGAGGCTCGCAGAAGCATCTCTGTCACCTGGTTCAGCCATGACTTCCCAAAGGGTGCCTCCTGGCCAGTGGGCCTGTGAAAGAAGGAGAATGGTGAGAAGTCACACATTTTACTTCTTCTGTGTGACCATTTGGGGTACTATCACAGTTTGGGCCAGGAGCACATGATTTGTACACAGGTAGGTGGCAAGTGGTCCTGTTCCCAGTTCACCCCATGCTTCCATATGTCTTCCTACCTCCTCCCACTCTGGATGTTGCTGTGCAAGAAGTGGGGAGAGTACTGAAACTAGAAAAGGAGGCACATTTTTGGGCCAGAGAGAAACCTGGTACAAGGGAAATTCCCAGGAATCCACAAGAATGACCCCGGCTAAGGCTCCTAGCAGTAGTGGAGAGGGAACTAAGACAAATAAATTAGTTTAATTTAAAACAAGTGTCACACCAATCAGCCCCTGCTGGGGATCAGGAAGTTCAGGCTGTCTGTGGAAGCAGTGCTCACAGAGAGGCTTAGGGTGCTCCATGCTGGGGGAGGGGTGGCTTTAAGACATTGGTTGTCACTAAGAGAAAGCAAACAAAAAACAGCAGATACACTCTCTCACTTTTTGGGGAATTCTGTGGACATTTCAACAGAAAGTATCCATTCCATATTTCAGGTAAGTGTTGAGAAATCTTCAAAATTTCTTTACTAAATCATAAAACATGTTTAAGGGGTCAGAGTGTTTTCTGAGGTTATAGTTTAACACAAATGTAAATACCACATTCTTTTATGAAATTCTCAAAAACTGTGTCCCTGTTGGAGTGGGTGTGACTTTGTTGGAGGAAATGTGTCACTAGGGGCAGGCTTTGAGGACTCAGATGCTCAAGCCTGACCAGTGTGTAAAGTCTCTTCCTGCTGCCTGTGCATCCAGATGTAGAGCTCTCAGCTTCCTCTCAAACACCATGTCTGCCTCCATGCCACCATGCTTCCCACCATGACGATAATGGACTAAACCTCTGAAACTGTAAGCCAGCCCTAATTAAATGTTTTCCTATATAAGAGTTGCCATGTCACTGGTGTCTCTTTACAGCAATAGAAAAACCTAAACACAAAAACTAATGTTAAATTTAAAAAACACTTTATGCTCCAATACATTTAAAACTCCAAAGTTTCTTCTATATCTCAAGCTAAACCCTTCATCACTATAAAACTAAAACAAACAAAAACTGCTTACAGGCAACATGCAATTACATGGAGTATACTTTCCACTGTTATGGACAATCATGGGGACATAGCAAAATAAAATGGAACAAATCAACATGAAAACACACAAGACAAACACACAAGACAAACACACAAATCTTGTTGCTCTATTTCTAGCCTTTAAATTTTTAGAAGAGGCTTAGGTAATCCTGATTCCACAGATTTTACTATGATAGCACATGTAACCTCTTTCTCAGATTTACATGTCACTATGTGTGTAGCCTTATTCAGCTGGCATGGTTTCATCATGGCCTTTCCAAACTGCTGAAATCTTCATGACTGTTAATTCACTTCCACATTCAAACTCCTTGGAACGACCTCTGAAGGTCTTTCAGGTACTCCAACTATGCTGGCTAGTTTTATTTCAACTAGACATAAGCTAATGTCATTTGGGGGGAAGAAAGTTTAATGGAGAAAAAAACCTCCAAATTGTTGGCATGAAGGAAGTCTGTATGCAATTTTCTTTTTGATGATTTATGTGGGGGACCCAGCTCCGATGGAGATTCTATCCATGATGAGATTGTCTTGGATAGTAAAATAAAGACTGGCCCAGCCACTGGAGAGCCAGCCAATAAGCAGTGCTTCTTCATGGTCACTACATCAGTTCTGGCCTTTGTTCCTGCACTGAATTCTCTGAATGATGGAGTACAAGCTTTCAGAAGAAGTAAACCCTTTCTTCCACAAGTTTCTTCTGGTTGTGAGGGAAGTGAAGACTCTCCATCCTGACGCTTAGTAACTCTCTCTTTACACTCATTGGGATCTCTCTGCCCTGTATGTTCTTTCTCGTTTAGCTGCTCCTCAGTACATGCAGAATTCTCTGTCATACTGCTAACTGGTTCAAGGGCAGATATTTTCTGCTGTCCTTTGTGTATGTGAGGTTGTACCTTCATTTTCCCAAGCCCTGGTGCAGCTCTGCTATAGCTGCAGCGGTGACTTCTGCTAGAGGGAAAGATCCTTTCAAAACTTTTAAACGCTAAAATTTTCTATACTTAGTTTTGCCTTATTTTAGCTCTCCTAGCTATTAAAATATACACAAGTAAACATATGATCATCTGACCAATAATTTTCTGTTCATATCTCTAATTATATACAATCCCATAATAATCTTGAAGGCAGTCGCCAACCTTTTTCCATATCTTTTCATCTGTGGTCCCCTCCAGGGACAAACATCTCCAATATAATCCAAGAAACTTTTTAAATCTTTCTTTTTTACCCTTGTTCCTTGTATCTTGACAGACTCCTTGAGTCCTTTAATAAACAGATCCTGTTTACTAAATGCCTGTCCCATGGTAAATCTTACCTCGCACCGCTGCATTACTCCTCCAGTCTGTCTCACAGGCCTGGAAAAGCAGTGTTGATCTCTCTACGGATCTGTCTCACCACCCGGTAGAGCCTTGGCGATCTCTGGGAGCTGGTGCTTCCCCTTCAGGCATGGTGGCTCAGTGAACTTGGGCAGGCCTGCCCCCTGAGTGCAGTGGTGATCCTGGGGTCCTTATGGTCTTCAAGCCTCACGTTGGGCGCCAATTTGCCCTGGCCAGCAGGGCACAACGGGGTTGAGCCCACAGGACCTGGAATGGTAGGACAAGAGATACAAGAAACTGACAGCAAGACAGGCTTTCTGATCAAGCTGTAAGGATTTATTTTCCTTAGGCGCATGATATAGTGGTTAGGGAGGGATTCAGGAGAGGTCATTTCCTGGTAACCAGACGGAGGAGTGTTCTTGGTCATGTACCAAGGAGTTTTCTTAGTCACAGACCACCACCGAGGATGAGCAGCAGGAATGGAGATGGAGATAAGAAGGATGTTAGTAGGGTAAAGGTCGCAGGATAAGGGCTTGCTAAATAACCTATCTGCAGTTGCTATCAGCTATTCCTGTGAGCCCAGGTTCTTCTTATCAGGAGGCCACTCAGTTACAACAGGATATTCTTTCTCTAAGGTATGTTCCTGTGGGGGAAGGCTGAATGGGCTGTTTGCATGGGCTCTTGACAGCCTTTAAAGTTTATAGAACGATTGATCCTGGCACAATAGAAACCCTGCCTGAGACAGAAATGCATATCATTTGTTCTGGAAGGATTGTGGAAAAGAATTTTGGAACTTTAGGCTGGAAAAGTTGTTGGGTTCTCAGAGCACAATGGTGCCTAGTGGGGACAGTGAAGACAACAGACCCCAGATACCATCCACAGAACTGAAAATTGAAAACATAAGTAAAAACAAAAGAACAACTAACAAAGATTTAAGGTACTCATGTCCCCAGCAGATACCATAAGTCTAGGTCGGCCACGGAAGTTTATTTTCACCCTGATGGCAACACCCTCTGTGAGCTGCAGCCAGAGCATCCCATAGGATTCAGATGCCTGGGAAGGCTGTATCAGATCCTTCACAGAATTCTCCAGTTTTGCCCTCATGCCTAGGGAAATTGCACTTATGAAATTACAGCCAGGGACCTAGGTCTCCGCCAACACTTCTTCAGAGGGTGCACACATGCAGGGGTCAGAAGACAGCAATGGCTGTCCTCCTCAGTTACTCTACAACTGATTGATGTAGGGTCACTCACTGAAACTAAAGCCTTGCTGGGATCCAGGAAATCCAAGACAACCTCCAGTATCTAACCTGTGACATGACCAGAGCTGGAATGACAGGCATGTGTGCAGCTACTGCTGGCTTTTATCATGGCTTCTAGTGATTCAAACTCAGGGCCTCATGTTATAGCAGCAACCATTGTCCTCTGTGCCACCGTCCCAGCCCTGGGGCCTATTCCTGAAGGAGGAGGAAACAGTAGCAGAGACCCTCACACCCAAGCAGGATGCAGCCAGCGAGCTTGGCGTTAGGTCCACAGCCTTCAGAGAGCTTCCAGCCACAGCTGCAGTTTGCCTGTTCCAGAAAAATTCAGCAGTAACAGTGAATGCATAGGAGATGGTCTGCCTCATGTAGAAAATGTATCTGATGCATTAAGTGACCGCTATGGGTGGAAAAGAAGTAAATTAGTGGAAGCTTAGGAAGTATTGTGGATGGGCTCCTAAACATTCCCTTAAAAGTTCAGGGGATAAATCTCAGTCCCCAGTAATGGCTCTTTGGGATGTATTAGAAGCTGTGCAATGGGCCTATTCAAGGAAATAACCCATTGTAATTGTGCTCTTGACTGATATATTGGTATCATATTTTTCTCTCTGCTTCTTGGCTCTCATGTAGTAAGACCATATCTATGTGCCACAGACTCTCTACCATGCTCTAGCTACCTTACCCAAGTCCCAAAGTTATGGGACTAACCAACCACAAAATAAAACAAAGTGAAAGAAGAAACAAACTTTTCCTCCTTACAAGTCAACCATCTCAGGTATATCGCATGTCAGAAAGCAGATTAAGGCATCCCACTATATGGAATGAGCTTTAAAAAGCCAGATCGTACACTAGGGATAGATCTTGGCCCTGCCTCAACTTAATGTGCCAGGCTTTGTTGATTCCCCATAGGAGGCCTTACCCTTTCTGAGAAGCAGAGGGCATGAGGTAGGGGGAAGTAGGGAATGGGGATGGGGGGAGAGAGGAGGAACTGTGGTTGCTATGTGAAATGAATAAAAAATAAAATAAAAAGCAGATCAATGGACATGAGAGTATAATAAGCTCTTTAAGGAGGTTATAGTTAAGTCACAAACCGTTGAATAGATATCCAACAACGTGAAGTTTACTTTCTATTGAATAGAGAGTATAACAAGAACAAGAAAAGCAAAATTTGAGGTCCAATGGGTAAAATAACTTTACTAAGTGGTGGTCTAAGAAATGGTAAAAAGACAAATAAAACAAATCCACATTTGGATTCTGAAAGGTTTCATATAGGAAATTTGTCTTATCTACATTGTAATTCTTAGTAGCTAGAACAATACCCCAAATAGTTATTTGATATATGAAATAAAGAAAAACTGTCCTCCATACTCTGAAACCTGGGAAATGAGGTAACAATATAGCTGAATGTATTGATATGTTATGGGTATAGAGTATTTTCCTCGCTGTTAATTCCAGATGGCTTCTTATAAATAACCCAAGGGATTCTTTTTTAATTTTTGTTTAAATTAGAAACAATCTTATTTTACATATCAATCTCAGTTCCCTCTCCCTCCCCTCCTCCCAATCCCCCCATTGACCCCCATACACTCCCCAGGGAGGGTGAGACCTTCCATGAGGGATCATCAATCTCTGTGAAGTCATTTGGGGCAGGGACTAGGCCCTCCCCTCAAGGGAGTCTTAAATATGAGAAATATACCGTAACTTTATGGGAGGGCAAAAGTTTGTCTCCAAAGCCACCTCCCACTCTACACACAAATCCAGGAAAAATTGCAATGGCATTAAATTGTATTAAGTATCCCCAAATGAATGAAAGATACAGTATACCATGATGTAGTCATGGCATATCATATACCTAACACTTTAATCATTAAGATGAAGTCAGATCAAGAACAACAAGAAAAAGACACACAGGAACTCTCAAAGTTCTCCATTTTCTTCTTAGAGTCATTGCTTTATATCAATCACTTACATGTCCATATTCCATATCAATCACTTACATGTCCATATTTTGTAGCTATAATTTTCTATAACAAGAATCTTACATATGATCCTAGGAGCTCCAGAAAAGAACATTGAACATTTAACAGGTCACATATTAGGGTTGAAACTGGGTTAAACTCAGAAATTTACTGAGAATAAGTGATCCACTTCATGTCACTCCGCTTTGCTGCTTGTAGCATCGCTTTCAGTTGTGCTTGGACATCAGCAAGCTTCTGTCGGTCTAAGCTGCCATGAATGTGCCATTGTTCATAGCAATGCACAGGGATAGGATAAATCACATATTTCAGTTCCATCAAAGGTGTAAAGTAATGAACGATTCTCATAAGCATAGGCATCGTAATGGGATTAGAGACAAAGCTAATCACACGGAGATGGGAACACTTCGTTAGGGCTGGAAGGATAGCAGACAGTACAGCATCTGTTAAATGGCAATGGTTTATAGCCAAATGCTGCAAGGTATCTGAGAGTTTCTGCAAAAGAATCTGAAAGGGCCCACAGTCATCCCAGTACATTGGATTGTTACTAAGATTCAACAGCTTTAGGTGGGTGGCCTGAGGACTCTGGGACAGACATTTGAGGTCTCTGTAAGAAATTTCACAGAATGGCAGATACAAGAAATCCAAATTAGGTGGTAAGGCTCTGTGGAGACAAGACAAAGATACAATGACTCTCAGATGAGGGAAAATAGTCTGAGGAATCTAGAATAAGCTGTTTTGCACGCATGCATTGCAGCAACTAACAATATGGGCTTGAATTCACTCAATAGATTTGTGACCCTGACAAGTTACTTTTCTATTCTCAGACGGAATTTGTATCCTTGAGAATTTTCACAGTATGTTATTATAGAAATTTGTGCCAAAGACTTAGTGAAAATATAACCTACTTAGTAACTACAATATAATCAAAGGTGGAGCTAGTTCACCTGCTCAGAAGAGAGGACAGAAGGAGCAACCAACTGGAAGGCCCCTTTGGCCAGTCCATAAATGACAGCATCTACAGTTATGGCCTGAACCTTGGAGATTTTCCTAATGATCTGACATTACCGTCTGTGTGTATGTGTCTATGTGCACCTGTGACACAACATACAGTCTTTCTCTCAACTCCTCCTCTTCATCTCTCGATGGCCAGAGGAGGACTGCATGGTTCTTTTCACCTTTATATTTCTGGAATGAGCACAATGCCTACACATGCTCATCTGACTATGGTTTTGAGAGAGACTTTTTTGACATGCCTACTTTCAAATTCCTAGGAGGGGAGAGATAGAAGGCATAAAGAGTTTTAAGCATTTCAGGAATTTCCAGGAATGAGTTCCCTTGTGTCTTAACAGCCAGGCAGTTCAGAAATCCCAGGTACATATCTCAAGCCCTCACCTGAGTAGGCTGACCAGATGATCTGTGAGGCTGAAGGAAGACAAGTTGAGCTCTTTCAGGCAATTCATCTGCCCAAGATAGTTGAGAAACATCCGGAAGACTTTCCCATGCAAAGACGTGCAAGTGATTTTAGACAGACTAAGGCTATCCAGATAGATCATGTGAGCCATAAGGTTGGTGACTTCACTCAGTGAAGCCTGATCAACTGCCAGGTTATGAATGCATGTCAGATCTAGAAACTTGAGAATGTTTCTTGCATAAGAAAATTTATCAATTTGCAACTCTCGGCAGCAGAGGTGTAAGGACCCTGAGCTCTGCTCAACTTTATTCAGAAGCAAAGCAAAAAATTCTCGTTGTCTCAAGGTGCCATCAAGGGATAGATCTACTAGTAATTCCATAGGCTGCCTTGAGGACTGACTTTCAGGATTTGGATCTGCAAGGCTGCATTGGCTTTCTAACTTCATAATAGATTGTACAGAGTGAGTACAGCTATGAAAACAAGTAGGTGATCTAATACCAAACTCAGGGCATGTTGTCCTGCAGTCAACACCCTGTCTTACATCTAGGATCCTCAGTTTAGGGCTTCTGTGTGGAAAAGAAGAGAGAGAACATCTAAGAGGCATGCAAATTGTCATATAAACCCACAAGGTCTACAATAACATATAGAGACATGGTCTGCACTCTTTGTGTCAAATACCAGTAAATTCTACATTATGCAAATTCAACATCCTTTAATTAGTTTTTACATCTTTTACTCTCCTTAAATCCTCTCCAATCTTAAAGTTGGTGTCTTTCTTCTATGTAATTAACAATGTTATGTAAATCCATTAATGGTACCCTCAATAACAAATGATGAACATTGAATATATCAGTCTTTAGTGTATAAGTGTTGGACCAATACCCTCACACATAAATCTTCAGCATTCACTACCTTTGGAAGAGTAGGAGGCTGTGGCATAACATGTGTCTTACCAAAGCTCTATTATACAGGGTCTTACCTAGAAGTTGAGTTATGGACAGGTAGGAACTGAAAATTCTCAACCATGGCTTTCAGGAGTTCACGCTGGGGTTCCTGAACACTCAGTGTTCCAATGTGGAGACAAGTAAAGGGCCAAACCTTCACCATTGCTATCAGTGTCTTCCTATATCCTCCCATGAAGGCAGCAGAGAACAATGGAACAAAAAGCTCCCTTGGGATCTCGCCCAGTGAATGGATTGCAACAGGTTCATTGCTCAGTAGACTTTGTATAGCAAGATCCAACAGTGTGGATGGGTCCCTGTCATCCATCATCATAAACCTGCATCAGGATGAGAGATACCTCAGATTCTTCTTTAAAAACAAATGTGAGCAGTGTAGAAAATATATTGGTTTCAGAATACTTTTTTATGAAACTAATACCTACTTCTAGAGACATCTTCTATAGGAATAGATTAGAAACTGATTGCTCTGAGTGTAGAAGTGTGTGTGTGTGTGTGTGTGTGTGTGTGTGTATGTATGTTTACATGAGAAACTAGCATTAGAAATAAACAGTAGAAATCAATGTTTGCTACCTATCTCCCTGGCATCCAATATTTCTTCTCAAGAGATACAAAGCATTATAAATTAAATTGCAAATATACATAATATTGATACAATCATTATCTTGGAAACAGAAAATAAAAAAACATCAAAATGACAATTATCAAAGAGAAAAAGTCTGAAATTGCAGCAAATCCTACTCCATCACCATACATTGTGGATAGGAAGCAGACAACTGCAAGAGATAGAAATAAAGAAATATAATTATGGGCTTAAACTTGATATAAAACCTCAGACATAAAAATTAGGTTTGAAGTAAGCCTAAAATATGAAAAAATATGTTCCAACGTTAAAGGAAACAGCTACCATTTAGAGAATAGAGTCCATTAAAAATTCCAGTTCAAATCCTTAATGCTTTCCCCATATTTCAAAACCAAAAAGTAGTCAAAGTGAAAACAGAATAGTGAATCCTTGAGTCTTGAAAGAGTAACAGAGTTGAGGATTGCGGATGAAAATGTATAGTTGTGTATAATGAATGTAAGATGGAAACGGTTGTGGAAATACCACAGTGACTCCCATTCAGATGTGTAATCAATGTGTTAACAAATAAATAAATGGCATTAAGTCACGGATACTGATGATCTGAAACTTCGGCTTTTGAATCACAGAGCTTATGAGGAAGAATAAAAGCAGAGAGATGGGAGAAACATTGCCAAGAACTTTGATAAAGATGAAAAAAGAAACTAAAGCAGGAAATAAGACTCCTAATATGTAAGAAACAAAATAAGAGTATTCATAACCTTTCTCTCTAGCACACACACAAAAATGAACTAGATAACACTAAATGCCAGAACATAAAATGATAAAAATAGATATTATATAAAACAATATAGTATCATACAAATTCCAAGCAAAACTATTAAAACCATCAAAAAACAAAAAAAAAATCTTTTTCTCATCACATACCTAGTGTAGGACACTTTAATATGAGCCCGTACACACTCAGACACCGTCCTTGGATAGAATAACTTGCCACTACATCACTGTCCTTGGATAGAATAACTTGTCAACTGAGATAAAATTCACCCTGGTCAAAGGCAAAGAAGAATTACATCAGCTTGAGACTTTTTAGGATTACAATCCCAGGAGACAACATTCAAATGATCCTGAAAACCATGTTCCAAGGTTCTAAAAATGGGCTCCTTTTACAGTGTAAGGGGCAAGAGAGTTGTATCCCCTTTGTGATTCTTTTTAATGAAATAAAAATCAAACTGGCTTTTAAGAAAGAGACTGGGCAGACTTACAAAGCAAGGGTGATAATATGACAAACTGCTATAAACATTAATGAAATTTGTTTCAAAATCTGAAGCGCATGCTACTATCCAAGGTAAGCCATTGTTGGGGGAATATGTGAATATTCAGATAGTGTAGTTTAAAATATTAACTGTAGATGTGCCTGAAGTCTGGTTTAACAAGGGTTCCAGATCCCATTTTAAGGGTGCCAAAGAAATGCTACTGTTGGGATTTTATTATCCATAACAAGTTCAGTATCAAAAATATGTCTGTTCTTCCTGAGCTGATATATGCATTTAATTCAATTTTTAAAGTATCTGCAAACGTTGTATGGAATTAAACAACTTGAAGGTAAAATTCATACATGAAAGAACATGTGAGAAGAGATAATAAGTGAGAAGGAAAGCACGTGGAAAGGACTTACACTAAATAAACAAAAACACAATAAACTCTAGGAAACCTCTGTATTGACAGCATCATGCTACTTCTATAAGAATAGAAAAATAAGAGCTGGAGAGATGGTTCAGCAGTTAAGTAAGAGAACTGGCTGCTCTTTCAGACCCAAGTTTGATTCCTAGCATCCACATGGTGGTTCACAACCATCTGTGACTTTAGTTTAGGGGATACAACTCCCTTTAGGACCTCCATGGAATCATATGTGCACAGGTGCACAGATATGCATGCAGGCAATATACACAGAGCATAAGGTGAAATAAAAACTAAAATACTGGAATTGGAATATAAAAATAAATTAATAAAAAACCTAAAAGAACAGATAACCCAATAGAAGAGCCTAAACAGCCTAGAAATAAAAGTCAACACAAATGAAAATTAGCATAATAAAGGTGGTATGCAAAACCACTGGAGCAAAAGGGAATATGAGACGATTAGAACAAAATTGAAAATAGATATATAAAATGTGCTATTTGCATGCATAAATAATAACATAAGTTAAAGATCTAAGCAAAAAACTTAAGTTAAACCAAGGGCTAGAAAGACACCTCAGCAATGATTACAAGTACATGTTGCTCGTTCAGAGGACTGAGTTCAGTTCTTGGGACCCACATAGAAGCTCATAGCTGGCTGTATAATTCCAGTTCCAATGTTTCCAACATCCTCTTCTGCCCTCCAAGAGCACCAAGTAAACATGTGATGCACTATACATTCAAGCAAAACACTCATATAAAATAAATGTAATTTTAAAAGAAGCTAATCCACACAGCTTCTTGAAGGTAACATGGCAATATGCCAAACCTTCTTTAACCTCATAGTAGGAAAGGGCTTTCTAAATATCACTCATATTATAGAGGCAAAAAAGAAGGAGACAGAGAGAGAGAGAGAGAGAGAGAGAGAGAGAGACAGAGACAGAGACAGAGACAGAGACAGAGACAGAGAGAGACAGAGACAGAGAGACAGAGACAGAGACAGACACAGAGACAGAGAAACAGAGGGAGGGAGAGAGAGAGGAAGGGAGGGAGGGGGAGGAAGGGAAGGAGAGAGGGGGGAAGGAAGGAAGGGAATGAAAAGCGGGAAAACAGTTTGTTCACATAAAAATGAAAGTATTTCAAAGTATAAAAGTCACAATTAAATGAAAAGGCAACTGAAAAATTTCAGAGACCAGTACACAAATCAAACAACTGGAAAACATGTCAATTATCTACAAATACCTAAAACTGAAAGACAGTAGACCAGGGATTTGGTATAAAAATCAGAAAAAAGTGAATTGGTAATTCACACAACATTGTAAAAGTACAGCCCACAAAAGATAAGAAGCTTAATTTTTAATGGTAATTAGGCATGTGTATATAAAGATAATTGTGTGCTTATCATTTAGTGTCAGGCCACCCATGGGCAAAACTATTTACAGAAAAGCAGTCTATTCTGTTAAGGGGGCTGTGAGAGAACAGTGTTCTCACACATTGCTAGTAGAAGTGAAAACTAGGAAAATGCCTAACAAAATAACATATGATCTTAAATTTTACCCAATAATCTTACTGCAGGGCCTATGAAGATCTATTTCCATAAATACAAAAATACATATGCCTAAAGATATTCATAGGAGCATTACTTATAATTTCAAAATATTAGACACAATTAAAAACATACACAGGCGAATATTTCAATAAAAACAGTATGGTCATACAAATATTTCTGATACAAATGTGAAAAAGAATAATGAAAATCTTTATGAAATAACAGGGTGTCATTCCTACAAATGCTGCTAACTGAAAAATAGAAAGAAGGATGATGTATATTATGTTACCTTTAATGGAAGAAGACAATAAGACAAATCACACAGTTTCTCTCTTTTGCAGTGTACAGGAGAGAAGAGTCCAAAACTGAATGCACTGGTAATTTCTACAGGGGGAGGACAGGAAGGAAATGGGAAATAAGAACAGGGTAGAAGGGAGAAAGGTATAGTGGCACTTCCCTCGATGCAACTCAGGATTTTGGAATACTAGTGATCTTCACACAGTTACCCTTTTGTACTTTTCGTCCTATATTAACAGATTTAACCCACTACTAGAAAATATTATGAAAAACCTGTCTGTAGTGAATATGTGCAGAATGTCTTCTTGCCTCTATCCGCTAAGTAACATAGCACAATAATTCACATAGCATTTACATTGAATTAGAAACATAAATAATTTATAGATGAATAAATGTATAATAAAGAACACAGTACCTTATATGCCAATACTATGCCATATGATACAAAGATCACTCACTTTCACAGAATTTCAGTGACAACCCATTGATAGATTCCTGGAACCAATGCACTGTTGATATCAAGGAACAAGAAAACAATTTTAAAAACAGAATATGGAGGTGACTGAAGCATTAACTAAAGTAAGTATACTTTGGAGGGTACATGCGTGCGTATGTATATGCATGCGGAAGACAGACATTGGCATCAGTTGTCCCCATCTGTCTCATTCCTCTCTAAGTTTGGCTATATGGTTTCTCACTGAGACTGGAGCTCATTGATTTGGCCAGCATGGGGAATCCACTTGTCTCTGTCTTCCTCTCATTCCCCACAGCACAGGGATTACGGATGTTTGTGTCCATGCCTAAATTCTACATTAGTGCTAGAAATAGACTTAAGACCCCTTATGCTTGTGTGGCAAGCACTTCACCAAGTGAGCCATCTTCCCAGTCCCTAAACTGTATAGCAAATAAATATACCCACAATAGAGGAATGACTAAAAGAATGGCTTGTGAAGAAACTTTGGAAATCACTGAGTTAACTTTATTCTTCAAGACAAAGACTGAAAGAACCATACAAAGACATCTGATAATGTCATTTCTAACAGGATGATTGGTTAGTAATTGGGAAACTATATATACTGACTAGAAATGAAAAAAAGTAAATATATCACAGATGACACAAAGTAGATCAGAAAAAGTGCCTCCTGATGGCAAAGCACGTATATTTTTGGTATCTCATTTTAATTCTCATACCACATTACCACAGAAGTGATCTTGTTCCCTGTCTTGCTTCCTATCAGGATAGTATGTGTTATTGGTAAACTTCTGTATTTAATATGTTCAGTGTCAGGTATCTATCATATACTTAGACACCCAAAATATTATGGAAGGCATCCCTCCTGCATAAGTAGGATGAATGAGAAGACAGAAAAACAGGTATTTTTTGCCAGAAAAAAATATATAATTTCAATCTAATCACTAGAATACATGAAAATCAGGGTGAAGCTGGCAGACTAGAAACTTCCTCCATTTCAAATCGTGAGTTGAAGAGCAAGTATGGAAGTTGAGCATGGCGGCCTATACTTATGATCCCAACAGCTGCATGACAGAGACAGGAGGATCAGGGGTTGAAGGTCATTGTTGACCACATAGGAACTTCCAGGCCAGTCTGGGCTACATCAGACCCTGTATTTAAATAAATAAGGAATACCCAAACAGACAACACATATAAAGAATGAGTCATGTTAAGAAAGGATGTATCCAGCCGGACGATGGTGGCACACACCTTTAATCCCAGCACTCGGGAGGCAGAGGCAGGCGGATCTCTGTGAGTTCGAGGCCAGGCTGGACCGACAGCCTCCAAAACAATACAGAGAAACCCTGTCTCGTAAAAACCAAAAAAAAAAAAAAAGAAAGGATGCATTCTATTTAAAAGAGAGGATAAGAAGAGCATTGAAGCATCAGAAGTCACCAAAGATGTTACAAGCCAGCTGAACAGTATGGAGAAACAGAAAGAGCATGCAGCCCAAAGCAGCTAGCAGCACAAAACTTCAACATCAGCTTCCTGTCAGGACTGATGAAGGAAAAGGCTCACCCAAAATGTAAAACGGGAGACCCCCCAGTAAAAGAAACTGAAATTTCTACTTTATTTTATTCTAATTCTAGTTTATCTGTGGGTGTTTTGCCTGTATATATGGCAGCTCACCACACATGGAACTGTGGAGGCCAGAACAAGGTGCAAGATCCCCTGGAACTAGAGTTACTGACAGTTGTAAGCCACCATGTAGTACTGGACTTGAACCCAGGCCATCATTTTATCCTTGAGATTTCTATGGAATGGACATGCCTACCATTTTCCCACTTCTTAAATTGAGTTGGTAAATCTGGGATGACACTGATTTCACATGTGTGACAAATGACCATGAAGAAAAAAATATGATATATATTTTCTTTACACCTCGTGTCCCAGAGGCTTGTCCATCCTGGTGAAATTTGATGGAGGCCAACTATTTAAGACAAAGAAACTCCAGTAAATG